AAATATAAACCGATCGTCATAAAACTTGGTTTTGGATCATATGAAACTTATTTATGTCGAATTTCATCGGTCTACTCGTATTTTTAAAACAGTTATGCCCGTTAAAGCTGTTTTCGGGGGTCCACTTGTATTGGAGAAATCCGAAAACGTGGACGGATATTACCTATTTTCAATACCAAACAAACCTTATCAATGGGGAATATTTATGCAAAATTTAAACTATCTAGCTCCTCCTTCGTGGACCCGATAACGCTAAAATACAATATCGAAATAAAACAAAATATCGATAACCTAAAGATGTCTACAGATGCCTCTAAAATCCGTTACCGATTATTTAGACTTATTGAAAATTTAAGTACACTTCGAATTAAAAGCAAATTTAGATAATTTATTTGTAATTTTGCACCAAATAATATCATTTCTACTTTATTCTTCAATGTGTATAGATTTTGAAAAAAGTTAATTGAATTGGGAAAAGATCAGAAATCTTGAAACTTAAATTATAGCTATATTTTTAAGAGTTATGAAATTTTATTATATATATATTATTATATATATTATTCTTTAAAGCTCGTTATTTTCACATCCCGAAAATTACGGGATTTTTGGGAATAATGATTTTCCTTTTGTCATCTCTAGTGGTGTGCTAAAATGGTATTATAGCAGTCATTTCGGAATGACTAATATAATGAAAAATATGTTCCTTAATGCAGTGCAACGGAAATCATAGAATAATTTGCCTATTTATATTTCCACTGCATTTTGGTAAAGAAGAGAAGTGAAACTTATGTCGGTAACGATATCATAGCGATAACGGTATTTAGACTTATTTCGGTATCATTTTAGCGATAACGGTTGCCAAATTTGGAATTTTGGCATCGATTACTTATCGAATATTATGGCATATGTTACCAATAGGAGCATAATTTAGCATGATTTGATTTTAATAGTATATTTAAGTTTTATGCTAAATTTTTCAATTTCTTTCACAAATATTTAAAAAAAATATTTTTTAATTGTTTTTTATAATTTTACAGCCTGTTTCACAATTTATCGATTTTCATGTTTTCTATTTGTTATCTGAACGTAAAATGGAATCGTACAAAACTTTAACAAATTAATTTCTAAAAATATCATTTAGACCTCATATTCATTTAAAAATGTATATTTTCAAATAATAAAATATAAAATATTATTTATTTCAGAACATAATTTTCAACCCTTTAGAAGTTTTCAATGTAATTGTACACAGAATATCCATTTTCTTGGCACTCGTTATAAAAGTATCTATGTATGTAGCAGTAGAGTGATTCAAGCTTGTATGATGGAAAAAAATTTGTATGACAGGCCGTCCCCTCCTCTAGAATTGTTCTTTGAATTGTAAAACTATGTCATACAAATAATTAGGCTGATTGGATAACGTTAACATGTGCCGCAACGGCTCTGAAGTTTCCAAGTGCATTTACAAGGGGAAAATATCGATTTTTTTTCAGTTTTTGCTCAAATTTGGCCATTTAGCAATAAATTTTGAACTTTATTGTAAAGGAATGTGCACAGAGTAAGCATTTCGGAAAGATATAAAACACAAAAAAGTTAATAGTTATTGCAAATTCCCCAGGCCATTAGCGTGTCTCACAGCACATAAATTCGAAATGTGATAAAAAAATTTATTTTTTTTTTGGGATATATTCTAAAAAATCATTTTGTTACTTAAAATATATCTAAAATTATTCGAATATTAGTTTTTGCCCTTATAAGATAACGCTAACTCGTTCTCGTTCACTCTATTTTAAATATCGGACTATATACGATAAATTCCATTAATTTTTTGTAAAGATGGCCGACAAATAAATATTATTTCGATATGGTACACTAAGAATTCCCAAATATTGCAAAATTTGACCTTTGAACTCCACAGTTTATGGGTTAAGAATATCCGATTTTAATAAAACTTCGGATATATATAATACTTTATTTAAAATGTGCAACAGTAAAGAATTAATACGTATTCTCTAAAATATTACAAAAGTAATGACATTTTCCCGAAATCCGCCGAGTTCAAATCGCAGGTACAGCTAAACTGTAAGAAATATTGATCTAATTTTATACCGTTTAATAGCCCCAAAAAACTGAAATTGGAGATTTGAAACGGCCGTTGAAAAAATCAAACTTTTTTGACCATAGCTGAGAAGAAGTTTGCGTTATCTTATAAGGGCAAAAACTAATATTCGAGTAATTATAGATATATTTTAAGTAACAACATTTTTTTTAGATTATATCCCAAAAAAGTAATATTTTTGTCACATATCGAATTCATGTGCCGTGGGACACGTTAATGTCCTGGGGAATTTGCAATAACTTTTAAAGTTTTCAAGTAATTTTTGTGTTTTATATATTTCCGAAATGCTTACTCTGAGCACATTACGATTCCTTTACAATAAATATGGCCAAATTTGAGCAAAAACTAATAAAACAGATATTTTTCCCTTGTAAATGCACTTGAAAACTTCAGAGTCGTTGCGGCACCTGTTAACGTTATCCTATCAGCCTAATTTTTTGTATGACATACAGTAAATCACAAAAATAAGTATACAGAAATACTGATAATTGGTTTTATTTAAAAAAGGATATTATTTTTTCAAAAAACAAAAATGTAACACATTTATTTATTAAAAACAGTTATGATAATTATTATTCACTACTTTTTTACTGGATATTTTTGTTATTTGAGTTCTCATTTAAGGTGAAGCCAAATACATAGGTACAAAATTTACGTCACAATAGTAAGTATACAGATTATTTCAATATATATTTGTTTTCATGATATTAACAAAATTTATGAAAATTTTACCTGTTTGAATATAATTACTTTATAATAAAATATTTTTACACAATAACTTGGAAAAAGTCCACTTTTAGTTCCGAAAAATTGAAATTTTTGGTAATTGACCTGAATATTACTTATAGGAGCATTTTTTTCATATTTAAGGGCATCTTGCTATTTAAACCCCCGGAGTTTTGGATCGGGTATTCAATAATATCCCTTGTTTGTTCATTATGATGCATTAGAAGACGATATTTTAACTTTTAAAGTAATTATTTCTTTACATTGTCGTTTTTAACAAGATATAGCGTTCATATTCGATATTTAATGGGGATTTCCTAAAATGTATTTCTTAAAATGCGAAATTATTAATACTTGTACTAGTTTCCATTAATTAACACAAGTTTTTTGATTCCAATCATCCATTACACACTTCTAAATACTACCAGTAATCGTCAAATGGTGACCATGTCAATAACTTACATTACATATCGGTTCCGAAATTGGTCATTGTCCAAAATAATACGATTTTTATATTAAATCAGGCTCAATTAGTTGTATGAATACGAATTGAACAATTTTGAACAATGATACGTCTTAATTTGTTGCTAGAACAAATAAAATGCTCGATCCATAAAACATGGTTATTGTCTCGGGTATATCAAGGTATGCACAGTGGGGCAGAATGGACATTTTTTGGAAATAAATCTGGCATTTCTAAACGGCTGATCCGATCGGGATAAAATTTGGCGTGAGCGTAGGAGTATTCGAGTTTAAGTTTTGAAGATGAACCCTGCAGATGCCCCAGGGACGGCGCTGTGGCGGCTCAAAGTAGGGTACCTACGACATGTAAAATTTTTAAACTCGTGCCATTTTTTTGTTTTTCATCCAAATACAAAGATTTTTATATTTTCTGAAAGCGCTCGACGAGATCTTGAAAAAACATGCTTAGACATACTACTTATCTCTTATAATATCAGAGTTAAATTTAGTGATACAAAATTTACCATACCTTGGTCCGCCTTTTTTTGAATACCGGGCGTAATTTAGGACCAAATGGACTCAATTTTTTCTTGTTAGTTAGACAACAAAATTTCCAATAAAATACAAAATATTTCAGATCAATATCATTTACAGATCCAAAAATATACGTTTTTTAATTTAAAAATTCAAAAAATTTAGATTTTTGCCGTTTTTTTGCCAAAAATGTGTCTTAACTCTTTTATTAATAAAATAAAATTTTCTTTAAGAACATATAACAATTTTATAGTTTTCTAAAAGGTATCTTTACGCAGAACGCTTTGGCGTAAAAAACTTGTCCTATTTTTTGAAAATGTTGCCACTGCGTCCTTCCGAACATGACCTATTTTTTATCAAAACTTCAACTTTGGGCGACATGTTCTAAAATCCCAAAGCTGGGATCAGAAAACTGAAAGCAGTTTTGGAAACCTCAATATGTTTTCTATTTACTCCAAAAGTATTTTCCCAGCCCTGAAAGAAATGTGGACCCTATGGGCAAAAAAGTAAAAAATCCCATTTTTGGGATTTTCATTCCAATTTCTGGGAATTGCGGGATGCCCTTTGACCTTTTCAATTTTTTTTGCATTTTCTTATTTGAAATGACAAATTTAAGAAGCGTTGAAAATTTTATTGAGTTTTGTTCATAAATAAAGATTTTGTCATATATTACATATTTGTTTAATTTCTAAAACTATGATTTATATCAAAATTTTAATAGGGTCGCAGATAGCTACAACAATTTAGTCCATATTTAATATCATTTCTTAGTTAGATATGGAAATTCTCGACCCTTTACAAAAAATTTCAAGCCAATATCTCAATTACATTCAAAAATATGTTCATTTAAACCTGTGTCCTTTAATTTCATCTTTTTTATATAAGATAAGATAAGATTGTAACAGCTGATGATCAGCTGAGTGGACGAGGCTACTTTATTAATTGTATCATAGTATGTAATAATTTTTAAACTCAAAAGCCAAAATTATGAAATTATTTGCTTCTATATGTCCTGTAAATGCCCATTTAATTTATTTACATATATTTAATTCGCGATTAATTCGTTTCGCGAAAAGTTTCATTTTTAAATTTAAAATCGATTCGCGAATAAATAAAAATATACAAAATAAAAATTATGTGGTATAAATTTAGAACTTACACAATGTGATTATCATTTCTGGTATCATCCGCCATCAAGTTAAAGTCTCCTAAAAAACTGTCAAAATATTTTTTTGGATAGTTTTCAATTATTTCTAATTTTTTGAGCTCTTCGTATAAAGATTCAATTGTACGATCGGCTGTCAAATCGTTAGATGTCTTGATTTTGGTTTCTTTTATATTTTTTACTTTTTTTGCCATTGACGATTTATATTTCTTTTTGTTATCAGAACACCATGCTTTTTTGAGTAACTCATATTCGATTCTGAAAAAAACATAAATATATAAAACAAATATGCGTATATACTAGGAATGACAATCCCGATCCCAAAAATCCCGAGATTTTTCCGAATTGGTAAATCACGTTTCCCAGGATATGCCAAAATAAATCCCGGAATTGGGATATGTATTTTGTGTCGTCAAAATACTTAATATTTTTCAAAGGAAAGGTCCTAAATTGATGTTCGAATAATTGAATTGGGTTCTGTCATAATTATCAGTTCTCATAGAACGGTATGCGGTTTTAAAAAGAGCTTACGTCTAATTTCGGAACTTAATATTTATTTAGGAAGTATGTAGGGGAGTTTTCCCGTTTTTCCTACCGAGCTCGTCCCCGGGTGGCGGATAGGGGGTGGTGATGGGCCATCTGTCCTCCCCCAGTTTTAGTTTGACTCAAGCTGAGGGAGGGCAGATTGTCCTCCACCTGGGAATATTATATTCCCCGCGGACCAAAAAACTGAAAAAAACAACATGGAAAATAAAAATAAAAAGATGAAAGTTACGGTGCAGGGCCTAAATAACCCAGTACCGGCGGGTTATGTGTCGTCGTCATCCTGCAATCGTGAGCAAAATACTACTACGGAGGTGGCTACCTTGGCCTCCTTGGCGGACAAAGCGTCAAGTGTACAGCATGCCATTGGCAAAAACATAGGGGTGAAAGAGAAGGGTGTACTCGAAGAGAGCTCTAAGCTACCTCAGCCTTTAAATATAGGTGAGGGTTCCGAATCTGAATCCTCAGATGATAATAACAACACCATTATAGCAAATCCCAAAAAGGATTAAGTAGAGAAAATGGTGGTGCATAGCATAGCTAAACTACCTATTACTAAGAAAAGACTATCTGGAGCACAGAGGAGGAAGTTGAAAAAGATGCTTCAGGAAATCATAGTTAGTCAATCCAACGACACTCCAAAGGAAAAATCGGACTCTCTCACAAGATCTGAGGCAAAGAGGATCAGGTCTCCCGAAGAGTTGATAACTGAGAATAAATCGAAGAAGAAAAAGAGCTCCCCGTCTTCTAATACACAGTCGAAGCCAAGCCATACTTCACTCAAAGGAACCTCAAGTCAGAATCCTGAGAGTAAAGGTGACAACGCCAAGATAGATATTCCGAAGACGACCACGTCGGCGAAATCAACCTCGAAGGTACGGGTATCTCAAAAGAAGCCCCGAAAAGCGAGGAAAGAGAGGGTAGACATTGGAAAAGGAAAAGAGCCGCCATCATATGCCAAAATTGTCAGAAAAAGACACCGGGACGATCTCTGCTATGCAGTTTACGATGCCGGTAATCCGACAGGCAAAATTCCAATAGACCAACAGAGTAAGGTAGAAGATCTGGTGAACAATAAGATAGTGGACCATGCAATCGCTTCAAAGGGCAAACAACCAATAGAGAGCGAGAGCTGCGAGTTCAGCATGGGCGTGATGTTGATGAGGTTGGCATCTCACCAATGTGTTAGCACCCTAAAGAACTTGGTGGAAAGTATCCCTCCTCCCTGGGACAGCGCTAAGCTGGAACTGACAAAGAAGAGCGAGCTTCCGGTGCTCTCAAAGTCCACTGCCTACATAAAAGGATAGGGCAGTAAACTGGCTAATGAACGTATACTGGAAATTCTTGGTGGTCAAAATGCTGAGCTGGCCGTGGAAAAATGGGATTTCTTTTACAGGAAAGAAGAACCTGAGGGAACTTTATTTGTAATATGTATCGACCAGAAATCTATGGCTAGTCTTTTCAAGAATAAAGGTAGGGCTTACTTCGCCTCTAAAGCTGTCATATCAAAATTGGGAAGGTGCCGATTGGAAGGGCTGTTACAACAAGCCTCGAAAAGGATACTAAAATACATAAGACCACAGCATCAGTAGCAACTAATGATAACGTAAAGGAGCCAAATCCTAAAAGCGAGGAAGGTACCACTAACTTTCCAAAATTGGGGAGGCGCCGATTGAAAGGGATGTCAAAACCGGCCCGATAAGGACACTAAAACACCTAAGACGGTACCCAAGGCATCATTAGCATTAGGTAATTTTGAGGATTCAAATTCCAAAAGCGAGGAGGAAATCACTCACTTGCCAGAAGACAGAACAGAAGTGCTGTCCAAAATTGGGAAAGTGTCGATTAAAAAAACTGCTCTTGCTATGAATAATAAGGACACTACCATCAATGGTACCCACTGCATCAATAGCCACTTCAGGTTACTCGGAGTAGTCAAATCCAACGAGTTTAAATGGATGACAATGATTGAGGTTATTCAAATAAACCTCCATCGGAGCGAGACAGCTACCAATGCTCTGATGGCTAAAATTAACACAGGTAAGATACATATAGTTTTAATCCAGGAGCCTTGGACGATTCGCAACAAGGTTTCTGGATTAAATCACGTAAATTTCCAACTTTTCTACGCTGATACATGGTCTCGACCGAGAACATGTATCTTATGTCACAAGAACTTATGTTTTCTCCTCTCAACAGGATTATCCACATCGGATGCAACGGTTCTGAAGCAAGGTCGTGGCAACATATACGTTACATCTGTTTACCTGCCTTTCGATTATCCGACACTACCACCAACGTCGGAGCTGATAAAACTAGTCGAAGAGGCACAAAGGAAAAATAAGAAAATTGTAATAGGTTGTGATGTCAACTCCCACCATGTAGCTTGGGGTAGTACAAACACCAATCGCAGAGGATAAGCCCTCATGGATTTCCTTAATACTAAAGACTTGATAACATTGAACTTAGGTAATAAAGCTACCTTCGTCAATAGAATCAGAGAAGAAGTATTAGATATAACTATATGTTCAGAAGAGCTTATAAACGATAAAGTTTCGTTATGAGTCTAAAACTAATTGGACAATGTTCGGGACCTTACTAAAGAACCGTTTAGGTCAGGACACTTTTCAATGTCGAAATAAAGAGGACATAGACGCCAAAGTAGAAACGCTCACAAGTGCCTTGGTTGAATCGTTCGAGGACAGCTGCGCTCTGCGAGAGCGGAGATCTGCCCAGAAGAAACCCTGGGTAACCGGGGAGATCCGGAACCTTGGTAAGACTCTTCGCAAACTATTCAACCGGGCACGGCGTAAAAAGACCGCAGTATACTGGGATGAGTATCGTAGTAAACTTGGTGAATATAAGAAAATTGTTCGTAAAGCCAAACAAGACTCTTGGAAACTTTTCTGTGAAAAGGTAGACAGCGTAAATGACGTATCGAAGATAAAAAATTCCTATCCAAAACTCACGTCCAATTCCAACCGGAATCTATGATCGATGACACGGGATGGAGGCTGGAGGGTATGGACAAGACGATCGTCTTATTATGTATGTCGAAGTTATGTCGATTTTCTCTCGAATTTTCAAAATGGTATTATGTATGTCGATTTTTTATAGAAATATAACTAAGTTAAAAATCTATTACTAAAAATGGTATTATATATGTCGTATTTGAATGGAAAATTCTACAGAAAGTGTCGATGTGTATTTTACTGGTGACAAAAACTTTCAAAGCTATTAGCATCAGCTCCCGTAGCTCAAATTTGCTGAAATTTGGAAGTTATGAGTACACCAGAGGAACATATAATGTAATGTTCGAATATTCGAAGTTAAATTCGAAAATTCGAAATAAAGTTCGAAAAATGTTTTATGGCTTTAAAATACTCTCTGAATCATAAAAACGAAAATCTGAATATTCGAACATATGTTCGAAAATGTTTTGAGTCTACTTAAATCTCTTCCTGTAGTAAAAATTGACTAAAATTTGATAATTATGATTACTATGGTGGCAATATAATATTGTGTTCGAAAATTCGAAATTAAGTTCGAAACATGTTTAATGGCTTTAAAATAATCTTCGAATAATAAAAAAAAAAACTTCGAAAATTACTTAAGTCTATAAAAACTAGTGTTGGAATATCCGAAATTAAGTGCATTATTTAATTTCGAAAATTCGAACTTTTGTTCGGAGTACAAAAAATAATGTTGGAAAATAATTTATTAATTCAATGTGCTATATATAAAGGTAAAAAAACTAATAAAAATAGTGAATATCGAGACGATTTTTACTATTTTCTCTTTTTTCATCAGAAGAAATATGCCGCAATACTTAAAATTTTCAATAAAGTAAATTATATAAGTTTTCAAAATAATCTACTACAAAAAAAAAATACTCATGTCGAATTTGTTACATAATACCAATAAAATTTAAATTCGACTACGACTACGACGATTGTCGATTTTCGACTACGACATACATAATAAGGGTTAATGACTCTCATTTCCCGGTATATCGAATAACATAAATGAACCGATATTGGAGGAAGAGGAGGCTAACACGGAAATTGTAATTACATCTGATATGGTTAAAGGGGCAATCAAGAGCTTTGCTCCCTATAAAGCTGCAGGTCCGGATGGCATTTTCACGGCCCTTTAACAGATGGAGGCTTGGTTGGTTTCCGTACATTTGTCTCTGATATTTACTGCGTGCTTGAAATTCACATATACCCCCATTAAATGGCAGGATGCAAGGGTAATATTTATACCTAAACCAGGGAAACCTAGCTATGCGACACCTAAGTCTTATCGACCGATAAGTCTTACGTCATTCCTACTTAAAACCTTGGAACGGATAATCGATAATATGATTAAAAGCAGTATACCCGACAAAGACCTACAATTTAAGCAGCATGCTTATGTAAAGGGACGATCGGTGGAAACCGCTTTAAACGAAGTTGTCCACTACATAGGTGCATCCTTTGATAGCAAACTATATACACTGGCGGTATGTATTGACATCGAAGGCGCCTTCAATAACGTGCATACTGATACTCTTATCCAATCCCTAGACCACTTTTACGTTGACCGGGTGATCCGTAACTGGATCAACCACATGCTAAGGAACAGATGGATAAGCTGCGAGATATACGATATAACTATCAGGAAGAAGGTATTTCGCGGTATACCACAGGGTGGCATTTTGTCACCTTTACTCT